TATAAGCGTGTAATCCAGCCTCTTTTTAGCTGCCTGTGGAACGGTTTCCCTAAAAGAAGACTCTAAAGTAACAACAAAGACCACGGGGGGGAGCAAGTGACCTGTGCAAACGCAGGCTCTCTGTGGAGGCTCAGAAGACCTCTCTTCATAGCATAGAAAATTTGGGCACTTAAGCATCCAAATTTTGAGAATTAATTTGGTGCCTAAATAATTATTTAGGGTTCTGATATTAACCGTATTCCTTGTGGCATCAGTGCTAAAGCTCTATCTCATTCCTAGTTTATCCTTTCCATTATCTTGTGGGCCCTGCCTTTTGCTGTCATTCCCCCTAACTAAGCTCCCGGTCCCTATTATCATCCTTTTCTTGATTATCTTTTGTTTTTAATTACCGCTTTCAGCTATAGTGACTTTCACTCCCACAGCCTTGCAGAAAATCCAGTGAGGTGCATCCTGGGATCCCAAGGGAACAAGACTACTTGTAAACCTGTGCTGTGAAATGGCGAGAAATTTCTGTGAGCGCAGGATAACTGAGGGGCAGTATTGGGAAATTTGGAACCTCGTGCTGCCAGGTATGAGAGGACTGGCAAGCAAGGGCACGTTAAATCTGTGAGGGAATCTGTTCTGCAGTGGTTAAGCTGGGCATGGGCTCTGTCAGCTGTTGGGCAATAGCCACAGTAGTGATGCTGTGGGGGGGATCGCTGATGAGGCACTATTGTTGGTATGAATTGGGCAGAAGAACAGCGGGGCCTTTCCTAGAGGGTCTGGCAGAGAGGCCCTCAGCCAAGCAGACACAGGTTGATGTGAAAGTTTTCCTTCAAAAGATTTCAAACCGACCTGGAGAGGAGACATTTCGCCTAGGGGACAGACTAAATCCAGTCCAGGAAAACCTCAAATTATGACTGATGGAGACAGGAGGAGGCCCAGAACTTTTCTGTGCTGATCTGCTCCATTTGTGTCAAATGACATGCAAATACAGCCATAGCCACAATAGCCCAGGATAAATCTGGGAAATGTGGAGAAAGAAGGCAGCAGGAGAGCTGCCTCCTCTCCACCCCAGTGGAATCAGCTGCTGCTTGGTTTTGAACTGGACGAGTTTAATGAGGTGTGGGATGGTACGCATCCTCACGGCCAGGTCCTGAGGGGAGGACGAGTACTGGCGTATTGACAAAGCAACAACTGAAGTGAGGGGTCTGAACTAATCTCTGCTCACCAGTCTGCATGATGTGAAACAGGAAAAGTATCTAACGTGCCATACAGATCAGATCTGCTATTATTAGCCAGTTATAGCTCTCTCTTTTCAACTAGTGGTATCTAAGGCCCTGTGTTTGTTCATAAACTTGGCCCACATGTATACTTTGCACTGCTAACAACTAGATTAATTAGAAACATGAGTTTTATCAAAATAGTTATATCCTCAGCAGCATAACTGGATGCAATCACAGGGTATATCTTACTTCCATTCTTTAGAGAAATAAAGAATATCAGAATACCTACTTCAATATATTGGGTTTACTGTTTCACCGGTAAGATAAGGTCTTGGTTGGATATTACTCCACAGTTTTACACAAAGTCAAATTTGTTTATACCCAGGCAAGTGCAACCAACAAAATTCATGTTTATGAAATTTTACAATGAGGTGCTGTGCGATGTAGTGCACTTCACATTGCTTTGTGTGCAGTTGTAAGATAAATGACTACAGAAAAAAAAAGAAAAATACTTATAAAAACATACATTTATAACGTCCCTTTTTAACATGTGGAACGGCAAGCTGATTTATTTTTAGCAACGAGTGGTACACAGACATCTTACATGGCCAAGGCCTCAGTGTGCTACATTTTTTAACCTTTAAGGCAAGGCAGAAGCAAATATGTGTCAGACTATCTAAGCGTAAACGCTGAAGTTACAAAATTTTAATTTGAAATCTGAAGTCTGATTTCAGGGGTATAAAATGGGCCTTAAAATTGTATGAAAATGAATGTATTGTAGTTAATCTAAAAGACTTACTATTGACATCTACTTTTTAATTTTATTCCATTAAGCCCCCAAAATGGTCTTTTTCTGGCACTTTTCCTATCACATTGTCCACTTATTTATAGGAAAGACGTAAATAATTAATACTTTCAAAAATAAAATCTAAAGAAATAAAAACTAATGCTGTTAAAATCACTACTATTTCGAACAGCCAAGGCAAATAAAATATATTAACTGCCAAATAGATTATTTTAGGGACTACATAAGTTAAAGCATTAAATACGAAGTTTTCAACCGAAATGATATTGTTCAGAAGAAGAGATAGAACCCAGCAATTCACAGTAGGAGTTGGAACAGTCAGGGCAGTGACCTCCATTTGGTATCTTGTTTTCTACAGCAGAGATGGTTCTACAGAACAGGCAGTTTTGTCTCCACTTTGGTCCACTTAACGTTTCACAATGAGACAAAAGGAAAACTCACTGGCTGTAGAGTTTTTCTCTAGAAATTGAAGTATTTGAGATTTTTTTATTAGGTTGAAACATCATATTTTATCACCTGTCCTACTAACACGGGTCTTTCAGTGCTCTTTGACAATAAGAGATCTTTAAGAGAAAAGTAGATCTTTCACTCGTTTTCAGTTGCTTAAAAGCTACTGATACCTATAGCCCAAAGTAGCCTCTGCATTGTCTTCATCTGAAAGTAATTCCCCATTACTTCCTTTAAAATTACAATACTTGTAAAAATTAATCATTATCTGTAGTCTATATTAATAGATTTCTTCCTGAGTGTCCCCAAAATGTAGGCTAATCATGTGGCTAATGCACTTTCTTTACTTACTTGTTTTAGATCCATATCCAAATCAGGCAATGTAAATAACTGACCAGGAACATAAATACATTGAAGATTAAATGCACCTTTCAAAGCAGCCTTTGCACACCTGAGTTTTACCCTCCAGGCATTTCTATGAAATACTTCAGCTGCTTGCCAGGTGTCAGATCAGAATCTATTATTCTACCGGCATAAACCACTATCAGCGATGAAATAGTGTATATCACCACGGATCTTTTATGACCAGTATTACCTACTCCAAAGTGCTGCAGTTCATCAAAAATATTTTAAAATCAAAATGATTTCAAATACACCACGACTGTATGTATGCTTTAAGCAAATCTTTACTTTGTAAAGCTTAAAAACTTAATGTATTTGCAAAACTGTAAATGTTTATAAATTTGTTAAGGAATCGTAAGCCGAAAGGCATAGCTTACACATGTACTCGTACTGAATCGGCTTTATATTAAAATCTAGACAAGGAAAAATATTTTCTACTTTGATTGGGACGGTTTAAATCTAGACTCAATTTCAGAATAAGATTTTACTCATATCTAAAAGCTGAAGTTTACTTCAGGCATATCACTGTCAAATAGCCGGCAGTTTCATTCAGATGAGCTCAATGTAGTTCTTAACATGGATAAGTTTTGATTTCCAAGTAATGCTTTGAAAATAGAACATCTGGGTCATTACAGTGTTCATTCTACTGCACAGTAAATTGAAATGTGGCACATGCTAAACTTTATTCACCTCAGCTGTGTTGCTCTCTGAAAGCTGGAATTCTTCTCGACTTACCCTAAAATACGATCTACAGACACAGCTATGCTATTGGCATACATTGGCTGCCGTAAGTAAAAACACCCCACTCCTTAAAATTGGTGTACCAGCTGAAGTACAAGCTATACCAACAAAAAGACTCTTTCACAAGGAAAAGCAGCATTTATTTTGATTATTCAGTATAGGTGTATTAGCAAACTCTTTAAAATGCAGATCAACTCCAAGAAAGTTTGTACAGGTCCCAGAATATCGTGCTTCTCTACAAAGTCAGCATTTGCTGCAGAACTCATATCTAGAAGGAAAAGCAGCTCCCGTGGCTACCATGAAGATCAAATTGACTACACAGCAGTGCGATATTACAACTTCAAAAGATGAACTGACCTAGTCATCTCAGCGGGACGCTGAGTTAATGCACTCTTTCTGGCGTCTCACAGCATATCTCCTGCAAGCAACACTCTTTTCCCTTCCAAAAAGTGGTTTCTCCCAGTAGCTTCCGCAATTAAAAAATCTGCAGTATTTTAAATATGTGCCAATGACTTTTAGATGAAAAATAATTCATAATGAAATGTATAAGAAAAAAAGACCCTGCCTGGGTTGTATCCAGCTTTAGATACAGTTCATTCAAAAATCATTTTACGTATAGCTGCCACAGAACCCTGTGGATGCTACTGGAAAAGCTACAGCCACCAGCGTACAATGCGCCCTTCAGCCTACGGCAGAGTGCGTGGCATCTCATTTATACAGTCTCGCTAGTCCAGGACTAAATATTCTGATTGTAGCAGTCACACGCCTCTGCCAATGCACTGAAAGCACAAAGTTGGAAACCATGAAGTCACTAAGGGCTTGGTGACAGATCCCTCTCTGTATCTGAACTTCTGAATCAGTTTTACTGTGTATATCGCTGTGATACCACAGTGAGATACCAGTGAGAAAAAGGAGCTTCCAAAGCCATACATTCTGTCCCTATAAACAACGACATAGGAGTACTGTCAACCTTAAGAAATTAAAGGTAAAATTCAAACACTTGATTACATTTGCATAGTTGTGAAAATTTATTAGTTACAGTGTAATGAAAATCAACTTTTTTGGTACAGGCAGAAGTAAAAACATACATTATATAGAAAAAAATCACAGCTTTAAAAACTGGCTTACATTGTTTAAAATGAGTAAATCTTGTTGTATTTCAAGGCATTGGACTTTAATACTTAATTTTATGCCAAACCATCACACAGTGCAAGAAATATTCAGCAATAGTACAAATTCCATACAGCAGTCTTCAGAGTATTTAGTCTCACAGAATTTCTTGGTGGCAAAAAAAATGTGCTGAATATTTTTTCCTTTTGAACACAAAACATTGCTGAAGTTAAATTGTTCTTTCTTTACATACTCTGTATTACAAAAATATCAAATTGCAAATTTGACAGTGTATTCTACAAATAAATGCGCCATGGACAACAGGAATTGCAACTTTGGGACAGTTACTTTACAAAGTGTATTACAAAAAATAAATTATATGGCAAACAAACAAAATCAAGCACATGCCTTAGGCTTTGCAAATAAAAGTGAAATTCAGCTGGCAGAAAGACTGCTTCTCTCTCTCTGGCTCTGTACTTTAAAAATATCAGTAAGGCCCTTCATTCTTAAAGCTCTACCAAGAAAAAATATATAAAATCTAATGGAAGAAGTAAATACTTCCACGAACAATCAGTAGCACAAGTGACCCTGGTGTTGATGGTAGAGAGCTTCTACAGTGATCCGTCCGACTGGCGAGGAGGGTAGTGCACACGGAGAGCATGTAGCGGGGCGGTAACTCATCTAGAGTTCATGCGTAGCTGGTGAATGATGACACTCTCTAAAAGAAAAGATAGCAAAACATTTGGTTTTACGAAACTGCAGACGAATTAGAAGTTCCTTTAATGAAGATCAATTACAATGGCAGTGCAATGCATTTTTCTTCTAGAAATGCCTCGCAGGCTTATTCTCATGTCACTGGTTGATACAAACGGTCCTGCCTAACACTACAAAGGGAAGCTAAATTAGTAGGAGGCTACGGTCCAGGAGCCCTTGGCTTCCATTTCAATGTCAAGACCATCACTCGGTTGTCCATAGGGAAGAATAATAATGTGGTTGAATGGATTAAATAAACCACAGGAACACCAAGGATCCAGTCCCACACCCGAATCAGGTAGAGGAAGGCTTGCAGTTGGGTCTCTTGTATCCTGTCTGAACAAATCCATCATAAACCTGCTGGCAATTCTGAAATGGGGATGACGAAGAGGTATGAGGGCAATTCTCACTTTTAATTGAAATTTGACTTAGAAACCTATGCTGGTTTTGTTCAGCAAGTCTGTTTGAATTTTGCTGCTGACTTCAGTGGGGATAAATTTCAGCCACAGCATGCAAAACGCAAGAGTTGGCATTGTCTGTGAAAGCCTGGGTTTAACTTTGCCCCGCGTGTAATGTAGGAGATCCCTGACCCTGATTAATCTCTGGGCTCCCCTGAAATATTAATAGCCTGGTCTTCTGTTCTGCTATCTAAATACACTGCTTTTACAGGCAACTTTTTCAATATAAGAATTTAGCTATCAATGATGTTTTCCTCTGCAAAGGTGTATTTTATGCATTTCAAATAATATAACTTAACCAATGCTAACTAGAAACATATAATAATACATTTTCAGAAATACTGATTTTCTTAATTGAAATTATGTTTTCTTTCTGAAGGTTCCTTCCTCTCTTAATAGTCTGAAGATTTTTCAAAATTTACACGACCCATGAAATGACATTAATCGTGTATGTATTCCCTTTCACATTTTTATTGACTTCTGCCTTTGTCTACTTCCTAACTCGTATTTTCAAGATCTTTGGTTAAGTCACATTACAAGAGGAAAGAAGATCAAAAGGTTTTCCATGTACTTGGAACACCAGAACTTGGCCACTAGATGTCAGATTCCTTTTCACACACGGTGGATCAGAAAAGCAGGGTGAAGGCAAAATTCAAGTACATATGTTAAGGCAAATGAAATAATAGGATTTCCCAAATATGAAAGTATTTCTTTTCCATATGGTTTATCAATAACAAATGATTTTCAACAAGCTATGTGTACCAGTTCTACCAAATTTGAGCAATGATTGTGAAACAACCACAAACTACAGTAACATTTTACCTTACAACCAGGGCTGTTCTCTGTGGTTAAGCTCTTGTGGAATACGATGTAAAGAGCTGCATTTACCTACTACCAGATTGTAACCTCGGGTGAACCCTCCCATTAACTTCAATGGGAGACACACGAACTCTGTATGAAAGACTTTTCTTCTCAATATTCACTGTGCACATTATATATTAATATGGAGTTTAGATACAAAATTCTAAAAACTAAATGGGTAGCAGAAAAATATCACGGTCGCTTTAAAGGCTCAGTCGCTGAATGAACAGCAAAACTACAGTAGGTTTCTGAATCAGTCTTCCTCCTACAGACCAAATACAGAAATTATGCAGAAAAGAGTAGGAGAAATAATAAAAAATCGTGTAATTTCCACTTCTAGTATTTATTTGTTCATTCATTTCTCACACACGTACGCTCTTGTTTTGTCTATCAGTTTTTTGTATTTTAAATGCTTAAATATATGTTATACACACACGCATTTACACACACACAATCTAGTTACTAAAAGAGGTATCTGAGCAGTTATTAAGCTAAAATTATAGAAGGGCAGATTTTTGTCAGTGTTCTGTTGGACCACCCTCTGTAGGAATGTGATTTAGGATATGATTACATAAATTTTTGTAGGGTTATAGATGTGAATATTTCAAGGAGCTATGAATTCATTTAAACAAAACAATTTATTTCAATGTCAGGAAAAGAAAACAAAGTTAATGTAAAATGCTAATTCTGATTTCAGTCCCACTGATGTAAATGAGAACTTCTCCGGCAAACACATCATTAACAGCTGGCCTATGGAAAACACCAATTCATATAATGAAGCACATCGACTGACATTTTAACATACAAAGTTTAATTTCTTCTTACAATATATACAAAGAAATAACACCAGATAATACAAAAATGTATGTACCACAGACAACACATGCCCAAGTAACAGAAGAGAATAATAACATCAGTACTTCTATTTTTAAAATCCTGTTGAAGAGAGTTTTTAAAGTGAAGAACCATTCATACCTGAGTGATTCGTACCTGACTCTCAGAGCTGATAGCTCCGCATCTGAGAGCGGTTAACCCTGATTACATCTTCCAAAAAGCCAAGTAAGAGCAGTGTGTAGGGAGCGAGATTCAAAATGAAGTTAACATCTATAACGAGAAATGTTGCATACAGTTTTACCGGAGAGAGACCGGGCAAAACTATGGGAAAGAGGGTAACTCGCACTGATCTAGGGGAGTAAAACATTCCCCTAAATGAAAACAAGTTCGAAAGATGAGCTCACAGAAACTCCTACCAGCAAACTGCAGGTTTCAAAGTGACTCAATGAAATCAGCCACTGATGTGTGATGGGAACATATAATTGGTCTGAAAAGTGTCCTGACCGTTGCAGCTTATTCCAAGCACCCGAAGCCCAGCAGGACAGTAGCTTCCTCCCTTTAAAGGCATACTCTTCCACTTCTGATCAGAATTAACGGAAAATTCGTGTAAATAATGGGAATGTTTTAGAACATGTATGGCATATTTCAGGCAGTAACATAGGATTTGGCATCCAGTTGGCACGAATCAACATATTAACATGACTAGAGATTACTCACATCATGCTAATTACTATGTGCTCTAAGTGGTTTGAGGTTTAAATATGGTGACATGCATACTCTATGGGCATATTCAGAAGAGTCACAAAGTGTTATTTGTGTTTTGAAAAATCACACTAATGGGTGTCACAAAAGGAAAAAAAGGTGGCCAAAATAAATCAAAAGCTCTGTTTTTCTTCTGTTATTTACTCAACATGTTTACTGGCCTGAGAGAAATCCCCCAGGCGTCAGGGCTGAAGTGCTATGCTCCCTCATTTTCAGTCACACTTACTCAAATGTATTGCTCTGCTGATAACTACATTAGCAATACTCATACGTAACAGTAATTCAGGTGATGGGATCTAATCTAGAGGACACAGTGGAAGACTGATTGGGAACTGGATTTAAAATCACAGAGATCACCTGGAGAATTGAGGGTGCACCTTCTCAGTGTGCTGCTCGTGAACGGGTTGGCCCTTTCCCTGCTCTTCTGCCTCTCCACCTTACTGCTGTCCCGAGCCGTATGTTCCCACTGATGGGCTGGAGTTACCACGACTGCTTATATGGCCACGCAGTCAGCCAGAACTGGGCATCTCTCCAGCTGACACCGAATTCTACCAGAAACACAAAGATTTGTTCTCAGCCAGCTCAGGTCCTGATGAAGCACTGTAACTGTCATTATTACTCTGAGTTGAGTTCATTTTGCTACTGAAACTGTTCATTAAAAAAAAAAAATCAGTACAGAGGAAAAGGTAAGAGAGAGAAAGCATGAGGATGAGTCATTCTTGAAGATCACCTGGGAAGAGGAAGGTTTGGTTACTGTGTTGTAATCAGGTAATGTAGAATACACAAGAAGCCCTGTAAAGAGAGGCCCTAGTATTTTCCAGTCGATTGGTGCCTCAGAGTTTGATTCTTCGGTGCCTAGGAAAATCTGAGGTCTGAACAAAGCTTGTCCTTGTGGTGTTCCTGACATCACTCTCTTGTGTTCATTCTTTGATGTAGTATGAAGGTGAACTCATGCTACATTCTTCTACGCAGTGGGGCACTGCTAAGGTCTTGCTCCTCTTCTCTGCCATCCTTTTCATTGAACTGAAAGAACTTCTTGTTCTGGAGACACCTATTGCTTTCTCAGATTTGGCTGAAATTAATTGATGTTATTCATCAATGTTATTCATCAATGAAGGACAGACGGAGGGATGGATGAACACAGATGCTTCATCTTGTAAGCCGCCTTTTCACAAAAGGCCAGGCTCAAAGGCAGCCTTTGGAACAGGGACCAGAATTCAGAGGGGCTCCCTCCTCCTAGTTCAATATCCTGACCACTCAACCACTCTCTTGTTTCTGCTCAGTGAATACTGAACTCCTCCATGCAGAACAGCACAGCCTGTACAGGAGGGAATGAGAATGCCACCTTCTTCCCCCTCAGCTGTCTGTCAGTGCCATTGGTGAACCTGGTTGGGGCTGATGTGGGTTTGAGTCTCCTCAGATACTGGTGAGCAAGGAGGACCCATCTCCTACCTTTGAAGAACAGTTTCAATCAAAAGCTTTTGAAAACAAGCAGCATTACCCCTACATTTGTATGGCATTTGACCTGCTAGGAGGCATTCATGATTCCAGTCGCTTTAAAACAGCCACTGGTTTCCTGAGCCTGCCTTCTTTCTTTTTCTGGCCTGAGAGCCTGGAACTAAGCTATGTTAAAGCTAGTCTTTACGCTTTTTGCCAGATTCCTTTTACCTCAGATCAGTTTCCCAGTTCAAACACTTGTGCCGGCTCAAGGGACAACCACATTAAGGGAAGTGAGTGCTTTCCTGGCTGGAGGTGTCAAGGACAGGACTGCAGCTTTTGACTCCAGTGTGGGGTTACATCCTGACTTTAAGTGACCATGAAATTGTGGCTTGACTTAAAAGCCCTTAGAGGAAATACAAGAACACCTGGATTATGGCTCTCCATTAGGCTCAGAGGCTGCAGTGCTAGTTAAGTCACAACCGAAGCACTGACTAGACAAGTGCAGTGGAATAACTTCAGGGAGATCTTCAGGATGCGTCCGGGGCTTAGGCACTATCTTTAAGACTCGATTGTCTAAATTGCCTTCTGGAGCTGACCTACTGAATGGAGAATCTTACTGTAGTCACTAAACATAACTGTCTTTAGATTCAGGGGCAATTCCTATAAAGACAGTTACGCTTCAACTTTTAATACTTCTGAACTGTAGGCTTTCTTTTTTCTTCATCTTACCCTTCTTCTGCCTTTAAGAATCAAGAATCTCGGGTCAATGAAAACAGATGTTGAAAATGATGAGTACTACTAAATACCTATTTTTAGCTAATGGTCAAACCAGTTGCCTGATTCCAACTCTTTAGGCTTCTGCTATCGAGCAAAAATTCCTTTCTGTTGTGCTGTCCCTGGGAAAAATGACAGCAACCTTGGTCTGACCTGTCTGGGATTTCTCGAGTCTGTCATAGGGAATTCTACTGACTCTACAAGAGTAACTCCCAGCTTGCACCCACAGTTCTGGTTCAGTTGTGCTAATTTGTGTATCCTGGATTTCAGGTGCTGTAAGGCTGGTTTGTTTCTTCAGGCGAATTTGCTTCTTAGATCTCAAGCAAAACCAACAAATTTTTCAACCGCAGGCACCCACAGAATATTGCCTTGGGTATAGCAACAGTTAACTAAGAAACAAAGTTTCTTTGAAACAAGAATCTGAAGAGGAAGGCTTCAGGCAGCTGTAGTTCATCACTGTATCAAGCCACATTAGCTTGGGGCTCATGTTTGCAATATTATTTAAATGACTGTTTAGACCTGAAGACTTGCTTCAGTGCCAGTATTTAGAGTGAATATCCAGCAAAAAGCTCTTAATAATGTGTTTTCTTCAAACATCTGCTAAAAAGTCTATGTTACAATGATAATAGTAAGATCTTGGCAACAATTTATTGACAAATTAAGGCTTTTAAGTGATAACAATTATTTCAGAGGATCTGATATATTTCCGACATAGTAACTCACATTGCTTGCCAATTCCAGTTTCTGAGTTTTATCTGAAATACTGAGAATTGAATGTTATGAAAAATGCTACTAAATGAATCTGATTTCCACATGTCGTAAGAACCAGAACCTTAAAATTAACAGGTATTGCAGGTGTTACACGTGTGAAAATTGAAGCCTACTTCTATTCTGACGTGGCAGCAGCTTTTACACCACACACAAAATGCCCTTCATGTGAATAATAAAATGCCAGCTTTATGCTGGGATAATGGCCATATCTGGACCTTAAATTGGAGCGCAATGCAAAGTGCAGACTGAAGACTAAACATTGCTTGGACTGAATATAATTTTGCTGACCTTCTGCATCAGATTCTTCCATCAGCTCTCTTCTCCCAGTCAGAAAGCCATTTAATATTTCAACCACTGGTACATTTTCTTTTCTGTGAATTGTATTTATTATTTATTGGTGGTCTTCCTGCCTAGCCTTCTGAAAGCTGTTCCTAAACACTGGGTCCTTTATAGCCAGCTGTGGTGGTTGAGGTATTACACAAGCTTTAAAACCATCATTTATCAGTCTGCTCAGCTCCATTTCTTTTGGTTGTGACTTTCTTCTGTGGAAATTGATCACTTAATGGAAATGCCCTTTAATGACTTCACTGTTATTAAATAAACAATCATAAAAATCATTGGCATCCACACCATTTCCATGCTGGAACAATTCCTTTAAAACATGCTTAAAAATGCAAACGTATAAATGAGGAAAATGAGGAAAAAATGAGGAAAGAGGGAAGGAAAGACAATGAATTGCGATGGTATTGTGAGGAGGTCTGTTTTTAACACAAAATATTTCAAACAACTGAGAATTGCGAGTAACTTCCATACCAAACCCTCTCTCTTTCACTGTCTGCACCTGAGCTGTGCCTTTAGATCGCAATTTCTGCCAGCAGCAGTCGGTGCTGACTTCCCCTCTACGACATAAGGATGCTTGGCAACTAAGATTTAAATATAGCACAAGTTCATCCTACCAGGACAACTGAAAACCTAGTGAAGTCCATGGAGTGGCTTGCTTCATAGCCTTTAGCAGTCTTTGGAGCAGGCACAAATGGGCTGTGTTGATTTTAGCAATGTTTCTCAAGCTTTTTCTAAAGACTAAACACCTTTTGGCTCACTTGCCTTCATCTGACCCCTGAGCTGGCAGTAACCCAGCGTGTGTAAGCTGGGGAGCCAGCTGTAACTACTGTCTACAAGCCTTAACCCCCTCTGTAAGAAATAAGCTGCTGCTTACTACTGCTGCTGCCTAACATTGTGCAACCTCCCTACCCCCTTGACCTTCGTAACAGCCTTGAGAAAACAGCTCGCCACTCAGAAACGCGGTTTTGGAGGGGAGACTCCTTGAGAGAAGGCTGCTCACACGGTGCCCATCCTTTCTTCACCTCCCTCCGGCACCTGAGGTACTGGCTTTCATTAAAATAGGAGCTCAAGCACGCTGTCTCCTGGCACTGCTTCCCTAGGCAATGTGGCATCTCAAAAAATCTGATCACAGGCAGGAAGGAAAGTGCCCCATGCAGCAGCGAAGGTGGGAAGTGATCCGTTAAGCTGGGAGACAATGTAACAGAAGTGACCAAACTCCCTTCAATCTATTAAAAAGTGACCAAGTCTATTATTAAGAAATCCTGGGCTAGATTAATAACCTAGTGCAGTTGCCCCATCCCTCACTTCCCAGGCTGAAACTCTTCCTGGCGTACAACTGCCGTTTTGATGGCTTTTTTTTTTTGAATTTCAGTAAGAAAACAAACGAATGATGTTACTTAAGTAGTCAGTGCACACACTTATTAGTTCATTGTAAGTGACAGCTGCAGGACTCCGTTAGTACAGGCAAACGTGAGCAACTACACAGACACGGGGCTGACTTCCACGGCAGCAGTAAAACCTGCAGAACATACCCCCTGAGCCACCGCCATCAGCCCTGACCCCCGCCCAGGGAGGCAGAGCTGCTGGCTGAAGATTTCTTCAGTTCTATTTTCATAGACTGAGTCTCGGCACGAGGCTCGAATTTTGTCACATTTCCTGCTCCTGCGGCTGCCACTACTGGCTTTCCTGCTTTCATACCTTTTGACACAGGAATGCGGGTGGGTGTAGGTCTCAGGGATGACCCATCCTGTCCTGTCTGCAAAAGAGAGAGACAGAGAGATATTACATGAGTGGAGGACTTTTTCTTCCCATATATTAGAGAGATTTTTTTCTTCTCATGTATTATCCTCTTATATATTTCTTCTCATATATTATATTCTCATCTTATACTTTTCATTTGTTCCTCATTCATGTCTCAAGCAACGATGTCCCAAATCACGCCGATTAGCAAATGAGTGCTCACATCTGGAACGTGGCCGTAGCGCACACTGCTACAGCAGGGCCAAAGGTGCAGTCGCGATCAAACGCGTTTCCCAGGGCTGAGGCCCTGTGTTTTGGATCAAGATGTCATAGGGAAGGGAACCCCTGCAAAACTCCAGTTCCGCAGCACGACACAGTGCAGGACGGCATTAGAGGCTACCAAAATGCTGTCTGAGCTGTCAGACAGGTGCAATATTAGCACCTTGCACAGAGACTAGCACAGGCCCTCAAAACAGCGTAGCCACATGAGGCTAATGCCGAACCCAGAGCAACTGCCATATTTTCAGAGCTGGCGCAAGATTTCTCAGCAGTATAGATAAAACTGAACTTTGCTTCCCAAAGTATGCTGGGGCTATGGCAACTTTTTTACACACTGGGAAGTGCAGGGGGCTGGGAGTGAGAGACAGGTGAAAGCTTTGGCTTTCCCTTTCCTGTGGCTGTGGGAGGAGGGACATGGGAGAGGGCTCTCCCCTCTGAGCCCTAGCTACAGCTGGATGAACTCTGGGGAGCATGAAGGAGGCAGCCCAGGTTCCTAGGGATACCTCAAGGCAGCGAGGACATGGTCATTTTACTATCTCTGCCAGCCTGCTGCCCTGGACAACAGCCTCCCAAGCACACTTATCCTCAAGCTGGAGGACTTCAGAATAAAAAAAAAAAGTAAAAATGGCCTAAGTGGTTGAGGACCCAAGAAGCCCAGCACAGCTCCTGTCAGGGATCTGTGCCCTTCTGGATCAACAGCTGGAGGCCAGGCTGGCTATCCTGCAGCTTTGAAAATGGCAATCAGTACACAGAGAAGTGAAGGCTCCAGGGAGACCTTGAGCAGCCTTCCAGTACCTGAACAGGCCCTACAAGAAAGCTGGAGAGGGACTTTTTACAAGGGCATGTGGCGATAGGACAAGGGGGAATGGCTTCAAACTGAAAGAGGGTAGGTTTAGATTAGATATTAGGAAGAAATTCTTTGCTATGAGGGTGGGGAGGCACTGGAACAGGTTGCCCAGAGAAGTTGTGGCTGCCCCCTCCCTGGCAGTGGTCAAGGCCAAGTTGGATGGGGCTTTGAGCAACCTGGTCAGTGGAAGGTGTCCCTGCCCATGGCAGGGAGGTTGAACCTAAATGATCTATAAAGTCCCTTCCAACCCAAACCATTCCATGATTCTATGATGACTCTATGAATGCTGCCCATACTCTGCAAGGCCGAAATTGGAAGCTACGCCTTATGGACTGTGACCTAAAGAAAATAGTTATAACCATGAGAATTCTGAAAGGAAAATGTGTTTTATCTTCCACAGTGTGCAATACAGACACAAATGTCAGCTGAATTTCATATGTGACTCTTTTCTGTTCAGATAATGGATGAAGACTTTGATCTCACAAAAGAGAACACTTTTTGTAAGATCCTGGAGTCCTAGCTAGACCCATCAGCTAAATAACTAAATTCAGCAACTTATGACATGTAAACAAAATAAAACTAAACAGCTGAAATAGACTGGATTAGGGGATCACATCGACTGCAACATGTATTTGCACATTTACTTAAAAATGCTCTTAAAAAATTCTCCACGAAAGAGAATTTTTCCAGCCAGTAGCATCAGAGCCTTCTGTCTGCATCCTGAGTACTCAGAGGAAAACCATTCCTTAATCTTCTAAGAACAGTTCAAAACCCCATGTGTACACACAAAAAAAAATCACAATTGGAAAACTTGAATGCTGTCTGCCTGGCAGGAAGGAAGCCATTTTCAATAACTTAAAGCAACATTTACAATAGCAGTCTAAAGGCTAATATGGAACTCACATGCAGATGTCAAAACAAGTTAGGCCCATACAATTCTGTAGGGCAAAACATGCAAATGCATTCCATCAGCCTTGGAAAATATGTCAACATCCCAGGGAACCCAAATGACAAACATCTTGTACTCCCTGAAAGAGCTCCACAGTGTGTAAACATGAGGCAATGAAATGAAGTAGCTGGAATCTTAGGCATTTCTTCAGCTTTATTCACATGTAAATTATTAACTAAGGATTTGGGTGCTTTGAAGTTACTCATCTCAAGCCTAAATCACTCAAAAGGACTTTGAAAAGAACTCTAACTTGCTTTAAATTTCTTAGTTGCCTTTCTTAAGACATACTAACGTGTTGATCATATGGAAGCTAATGCCTGCTTCACACGCAGCTGTAAAAGCATTTTGTGTTCGCCAAGTGAAATGGCACGAAGGTGGCTCTCCAGCAAGCGGTCCCCTTTGGCAAGAGAGATGGGGTAGTCAGGGTTGGACTAGATGACCCACAGAGGTCCCTTCCAACCCCTACCATTCTGTGATTCTGTGGTAAGCAAGCAGAGGACACTCTCCAGTCCACGTCTGTCATGTCTGTGGCAGAGAACCCACATGACTGTCTGTCTCTTGGTCATTTCTTCCAAGAACCAAGCTCGAAGCAATTCCCTCCAGCCCTGTTCGTCTGTAGGCTGCTGTCTTTTGGTTGATACAGGAATACGGCTCCAACCAGGAACCAACTCTTACGCAGATGGCATGGGGTCCCACAGACTTGGCCCCATGGGACGCAGTGGGATGCTGGCTGGCTCTGAACTGGCAGTACGTGGGGCTGGGACAGCACAGGGGATGGAGCCAGGTTAGTAAATACATTACTGAGAGTGAGATAAATACATGCAGCCGCTAAGCTGGTTAAGTCGATAATCAGCGCTCACTGCAGACACTGAGGTTGCAGTAAGGTTGGACAGTCCCATTAAAGGAAGAAAAGCAATCTGAATGTACAGAACATTTAGCATGTTTTAGTGGTTTATAGCAGATCCTCCTTAGTGCATTTTATTGACATGCAAAAAGAATGCCTTCATGCACACATCTATTTTTGGAATATTTTCATAACAAAGGTGCTTTGTCAGCACTTGTTCTCAATCAGATCAGATCAGGGACCAGCTTGCCCTGGACAGAAATGATTCAGTTCAGTGGCTGACACGGGTATCCAGTGCAATTTGAGATGCCCTGCGCTACTCAAGCACAGGGCTGGTAGATAAGACAGAGGACCCAAGGCGACCTGCAGCCTCTGATGAAGCAGCTGGAAGTTAGGTAGGCTACTTGACAGCACTTAAAATAACTCTAAAGAAGTATGTTTAGGCAATTGAATCTTGAAGGCATCGGACTTGAGATCTACTCAGCACAGTCCGCAATTCAGCTCCCACCCAGTTGCCACGGAGCCAGCACTCAGGGCTCAGTGCTGACAGGGGGACTGATGACTAGCGACTGACTCAGTTGCCTGCACTGAGGCATCTTGTGCCATCTGAGGTATCTCATCAGCTTCCACTGCTGACAGGCACAGGTCTATGTTATACCTACCAGCCTCGTGCGCGTCTCAGCTGCCGCAAGGCATGCAGATAGCACCATGCATCGCTATACAGCCAAGTGAGCCGGCCCCTGGATCTCTGGTAATCTGAACAGAGGCTTAGGGCGTGTATGCGACACCCGCACAGAGCTACATTTAGATGCTGATCTCAAACTAAATGCTGCCCAAATGAAAGTCGCCTTATAGCTGCTTTAAGGTGTGCCCGGTTAGCTCTGGCACCCAACAGCCTTTCAGCCGTGCCTGGTTGCCTCAGCCACAGGACGCTGTGCACAGCTCGAGCCGTGCCGCTGCGCTGGCTCTGCGGCAGCCGGGATTCCCTCTGCTCCCTGCAGAGCGGCATGTCACTGATTCAGGGTGGGCCCTGGCAGCGTAAACAGCCGGTGCTGGATGCGAGCCTTGTTGGATGTGGGAGCACAGGCATGAGGCGATTCTAGCACTGACCTCCATCCTGGTAGCCAAAGAAAATCCAAATTCACCAGCAAAATGTAAGGCCTAAATAAAAAAACAGGATATAGGCACCACAGTTGGTTTTTTTCTCAAAGAATATTTGTTTTCATTCTGTGGGGTTTTTAATGTAAACTGTATGAACTGTCCTGGGAACAGGGACTTGGGCTAACATGCTAAGGCAAGACTAACAACCAGGCTACAGTTTCAGGCTCATTTTGGTCTGCATATCCTCTGGTCTCAGTCTTGAATTTTTGGTTGTGCTGTGGTCCGTCTGTAATAACAAAAAAAATCTAGCAAGGGTAGAATTATGTAGCTAGGGTAGTCCAGGTGTGGGATCCAGGATGGACCAAAGCTCCTGCCGTGGAAACGCCTGTGGGCTTGGACCAGGCTGTGTGGCAGTGCTGGTGTGACGAGGCCAGCTGCTCAGCTCGCCAGGCCTGGGCTTGTGCAGCAGGCAGAACACAAAGTGCCCCCAAAACATTTGGGTCCAGCAAGTTCAGGTGCCAGTGGAGACACAGTCACTCACTGGTGCCTTTTTTCATTGACCATTTTGGTTCAGTGCTCAAAACCTTCCCAAATTCTCCTTCAGGTGCCTGTGTCTTTCTTTGGATCCGGGTCTCATTTTATCTAAATCAAAACTGTTGCAGACTCAGAATAGGACTTAGATCAGAGGAATATCAATCTCCAGCTACTCTAGAGTGTATGTCAGTGTAAATCAACACGATCACAACACTCCTTAATCTATGGGATTCATGGGATTCAAAAATCACGATGATCCATCATGAAACCGCAGTCTCTGGTTGTGGACTCACGTATGCAGGGAAGACACCACAGCTCACGCTGAACCTCAAAGTCCCGTGCGTGCACCTTAAAATTAACTTCACCTGCAGTACTGAAGATAACTCTATAAATTCACATTGAAAGAAGAGTTAAATGTTCTCAGATATGAAAACAGTAACTGCAAATTTGTTACAGCAACAGATGAGAGCTAGGAACTTTAGGATGATTTTCCCCTTTGTAGTCTGGCCCTGCACTAGTACGTTGTACAGAGCATCTTGTACGAGGAGAGCTAAGACAAATATTAAAACCAATGAGCTAAGAAAGCAGTTTTGTATCACTTTGTCTTCTTTGATTTTATGAACTTAAACGCTCAAAATTATATCAATGTTGGTTTCTTCTAGGGTTACTGAGTAAATTATGCCAACTTGTTTTTTCTGACTAGGGGTATCGAAATATGTTTGTAAAGTAGTCATTTGCAAAACAGATGGTGAATATACGGGGGGGGAGGCGGGTTAGGGAGGAAAAGGCACATTTGGGCTTGTTAGAAGTTCCCTGTTCATCTGACTAGGGACCTTAAAAAACAAGGGAAAGCATAAGATAAAGTAAATCTTATGGCTGAAGTATTTTCCTTACATTCCAAACCAGGGAGGACGAAGTGAAGAAAGAAACCACTTTTTAGCCAGATGAAAACAAACCAAAAAAGTTTTGTCTGCCACGGTTCAGTGCATCATCACAGCAGAGACAGACATCTAGTAAAAAAGAATGAGAGTCTCTCAAAAAAAAAAATCTTCTGAGCTTCTGAGAGGCAAAGAGGTTTGTAAATGAATTAATTCAAGACTTTTAAGAAAATGAACAGTTGCCTCTAGTATGCAGGAAAACGCTGTACAGTAAAGCATCTACAGTACATTATATATGTGGGGAGAGAGAGAGGAGGCGCGTGCAATCCCAGACAGATCTGTACGACAAATCTAAGTTTTCTGAGGTCAGGGGCTTACATGGGAATGGCAGCCCCTCTCCAAAAGTGTGGAAATGTGTCTTAAATACACTTCGACATTTCAGCTTGGAAAAAGCTGCCTGAAGAGGGGTGTTGTAGGGGTCTGCAGGCTCCTGAGCGGCATGGACAAACGAACCGGGGATGACCATTCAGTATTTGTCAAGATACAAGAAAGAGGCTGTAACCAATGAAGGTATTGCATAAAAGGTATCAGACAAAAGAGCGTTTTTCCCAGAGCCCACAGACGAACTCACTGCCCCCTGATGTTGTGGAAACAACAGTATAAATGAGTTCAAAAAGCAATTAGAAGAATAAATAGAAGAAAACTCCGCCATGGTCTGTTAAACACAAAGATGTGGCTGCAGGCCCTGATTCAGAAAGAAATACCCACCTATTGCCAAAAACCGGGAACAGACGCTGAGGGAAACATTGCTGCATGTTTACCCACTTAAAATAATCTTCCCCTAAGCATCTGCTACAGGCTCTGTCTAGATAAATAAGCTTTTGGACTAATACCAATAATAAATGTAGGGGGAGGAGTATCAATAAATATTGTCCAATATATTTAAACACAGAGGTGAGAGACTGATTAAAGTACAAAAGAGAAGCTGGGGAACCGCCACAGAGGCACAGAGAAAAAGCAGCAAAAAATGTGTTGGAGGAAGCACTACTGTAGTACAGTACTTATAGAAGTTGAGAATTTCAGAGGAACAGAAAGAGCTTTACTATTCACTGGCTGAAAGAGGCTTGGAGCTGTAAGCAACGATACCATGTCTGCCTATTTATTCCTTTGGCGTTCACTATTATAGCAGATATTAATTGAATTATAACTATAATAGGATTCTACAAAAGAAATACCAGCCTGCATGACCAGGCTCTAAAGGCCCGCCAGCTGGGCCAAAAATCATTATGAGTATTTTCAAGAAGTCAGAAATTGCACTCACCGAAAATAAAAATAGTTTCCTGCTCCGTTATCTCCGTCGTTCTTTGTCCCTCTCTGTCTCTCACTTGTAATTTTATAGGACCGCCTTTCCGAAAATAACTTCAAAGGAACTTTGCACGGAATTGCTTTGAAAGTTACTCCTTTGGGAGATAATGCCAAAAGTACACCAGCACCCAACACTGGTACAAAAAGACTCGAATCAGGCAAATTCTAATTTTTATAGTTAAGCTCGTATCTGAAACAGATGTAGGGAAGTCAAGAGTTTCTCCCCACCCCACGCATTCTTTCCAGTGTCTCAAACCCAAACTATGGTTTCCCTTCTCCTCACCATAAAGACCACGTCACGAGACCATGCTGCTTACCACTGATTGTGTTCCTCGTGTGGAAGACGTTGTAACAGGCGTTATAGTGATAGTACTTGTCACTTTGCTTGCTGCAGGTCGCGAGGAGAGGTTGTTCCGGGGCGACCGAAGGACGGTACCAGTCACAACATCTTTCTCTGCCGCTATGTTCACCGGTCGGACCGTTATCACAGGACTCACACCATCAGGTGCGGCACTGGGAGCGCGTTTAAACTGGGAACCTAAGTGGATGTGGATTTTGTTGTCTTCTGTCGTAATAATGTTGGCGTTGGCATTGTACTTGCGGATTGGAGTCGGGACAGTTTGTTTTTCTGGCGTTACTTTGAAGACAGCCCTTCCCATGGTCATATCTTGTGACTGCGGAGAGACAGAGATTTCTGCCGGTGCTGCGGACGTTGATACTGTCATAATCTGAATGGGTGACGCAGGCCTGTCGGCGAAGGGTGCTCTCCCTCCCTCTGGGGACTTTTCCCTGGAGAATGTTGTTATAGTGACGGGAGACATAGAACGATCTGGGCCCATGGGACTTTCACTGCCTTTCCCTTTTTGGGGCATAACGTTTGGAGAGGGAATGATGGTTATTCGTGGCTTCTGATTTCCCAAAGTAGGGATGACAGTGGTACTTGAAAAAAATTCCTCTGAGGTTGGACTGGTTATCTCCAAAGTAGCTGTGCTGTTCTCATGGTCTGGTGTCACCCGAATATGAAGAGGTTGACCCTGCTTTGGTGAAAGGACAACCTCCCCAGGATGTGCTGGACTACTGTGGGTTCGGGCTCCTTTATCAGGAGTTGCCTGAGCCCCAGTTTCCCTCTTTCTCATCCACGGTATCCAAGATTTCCTCATTGCAAGTTCATTCGCCGCTGGAGGATATCTCTCGAGCACTGAAGAACGCTCCATGGGTTTTTTCAGACCCACCTGTCGCAGATTGCTCATGATGTGATTCTCCTCCTGGAAGGATTTCCTTATAAACACTGCTGGAGTTTCTTCTTCTGCTGCTTCATTGCTTACAGCATCTGTTTGCACGCCGGTGGAAGTCACGGGAACATCGACCATTCTTCGTCCATTTATGCTGGGCCTCAGAGCACGGCTGTAACGCTTAGAAAGCTCCAGCTCTCTTGTTAGGTTCAGAACTTCCTGCCCCATGCTCTTGTTTTTATTTTCTTCTTCCATAAACCTTTGCTGCAGAACCGAATAATCAACTTGGAGCTGAGAAAGCTGGTCTTCTTTGTTCATCAGCTCATGAATTTTTTCCTTAAGAGCTTGAACTTCTGCTTTCAAATCTCTGCTTTTGGCCTCTTCCAGACGAAATCTGTGCCTCAACTCTGCCTCCTGGCTCACTGCTTCACCTTTTTCTATCGCTTTTGTTTTGGCAATCTGGAGCTTCATCTCCTCCAGCTGTTGAGAAAGAAAGTTAGCTTTATCTTGCTCAGTCCGAAATTTCTGCTCTAGCTGATCATATTCATCTTCTGTCTTCATCAAATCTCCTTCAACCACTTCCAATTGTTTGAGACGTTTTTTCAGTCTTTCAATTTCAACGGTAAGTTCTTTAATCTTGTTGTCCTCATGACAACCATGCTCTGGTCCTTTCCTGGCTCGACCTCTTGTAATTTCTCTTTCTACTTCCTCCATACCATCAATTCTTTTCTTTAACAGATCAACTCTATAGCTTAGTTCAGAGGATTTTTCTTCTTCACTTCTCAGTTTGCCAATTAACTCATCCCTTTCCTTTGTCAAACTAGACACCTTTTCCTCCATTTCAGATTTCAGTTTCAAAAATTTCTTACTCTCTTCTATCAGTTTTTCCGTTACATCCATAACTTTCCCTTGTTCAACTTTAAAATTCTTGTTTAGACCCTCAACTTTTTTTTCCTCCTGTTTTATTTTTTCCATCATATTTTTTCGTTCATCAACCAACATTACAGTAAATGACTTCAGCTTTGTAAGGTCATCTTTTAAGCTTATTTCAGCCTTTTCCAACTTGCTTTCTGATGCCTCAAGGTCTTTCACTCGAGTCTTCACCAATTCCAACTCATTTATCAAATCCTTAGTCAAATTCTTTTCTTTCTCCAAGTTTAAGTGCAGCTGGGTGCATTCAGACTTACTTTTACTGAAAGCCTCTTCCAGCTTCTCTAGTTCTGACATTCTTTTCTGCAATTTTTCCACTTCAAGTTTCAACTCTTTGCTATGGTGCTCTTCCTCTTGCAGTTTATTTTTCAGCTCTTTACACTGGGATTCAGTTTTTGTAATCTCTTCGTCTTTCCCTTCCATTTCAAGCACACGCTTGCGGAGGTTTTCCACTTCTGCCATTAAGCTAGAGTTTCCACATTCCCCTTTTGCAATTTTATCTCTTAGTTCTTGAAGTTCCTCTTCAGCTTTTTGAAGATTTTTGTTAGTTTCTTCTAGCTCCTCTATTCTGCGAGTCAACCCCACTAGCTTAAGCCTTAGCTGTCTATTATGTGACTCTTGATTAGCCAGTTTAGCAGTCATCTCCTCATGTTCTTGAGAAAATGATGATGTTTTGAGTTCAAGTTCTGCCTCTAACTTCATCAATTTTTGTCCATCTTCTTTTGTTTTTGCACTAATGATTTTAAGCTTTTCTTCTTCTTCCTTTAGTTTTTGGTTTAAGTCCTGTATTTTCTGGCTTTGTTGACCAAGTTTTTCAATATGCATTTGTCTTTCATCCACCAGCATGAGTGCAAATGATTTGAGCTTGACTAGTTCTTCTCTTAGTTTATTGAGTCTCTTTGTATGTTCCTTCTCCTTCCGAGCTTGATAGATCTTCTCCTGCTCAAGAAGTTTCTTCAACCTGAAACAAGTTAGAAGAGATGCATTAAACTAAAATATATACATGTATATTGGTGTATCTCTCCATTTTTTTAAATCACCTTCATTTTACCTTTTTTATTCATTAATAACCTAGGTAGTCTTTCAAGAAATAACTACCTACTACAGTTACATTCCTGAATCAAATATTTTAAATTACAGTATTTAACTGAAAACTATATAAAATCATCTAGAAATCTGAAAAGCAGTGAAATTTTATACATGTATAGGTAACAAATACATCAAGCTTTAAATCCTTTACATTTATTTCTCTGTTAGAGTGCTGTTGGTAAAAGTATATAATATTCCAAAAGGACAAGTATATCTCACCAACCCATTTATACCAAACTTGTTTTACAAGGCAGATTCCACCTTATGCCTCGCATACAGAAAAAAATGTGTAAAATAAGATGTAAAAAGTGAAAACTAATTGCTATATGCAGCCATATATAAATTGATCAATCCTGGTTATAAATAAACCAGCAGGACAGAAGATTACATTAGCACACAACTGATAATCATCTGGGCATCACAGGCATAAGAAATTAGCAGGAAGATAAATTTGCCAGCACAGTGACTATTACGTTAAAATGTTTGTTCTTCCAGGCATGCTTCCATTTACAAAAGTAGATTTTGGTCCCTTTGGACTGCAAGGGTCAGACTAGTCAAACTTTTGGCTGCAGCTAACCTCAGCTGACTGAAAAAATGCTCTTTATATAGTCTGCAAAGATGTATTTTCAGACAATATAATAAAAGCTCACGATAGACATATTAGGTGTATCCTCAGAGAAATAACAAAGACCTAAATTTTTCAGCCTTACCCATGCAACATTTGAATGGAGAAATTATAACCAATATAAGTGTTTTATATCTGTGATTTCTATCCAGGATACGTTGACATCAGCACAGGAATTGCCTCCACATACTGTAAGCACAGATTTATGAGGATGGTGATCTTCAACTCACAAAGAGGTGCAGGCATATATCCCCTAGTAAGCTAACAGCCTTATTGTAAAAGTGGCAATACGACTTCGAAAAGAACACACAGGTATGCACTCCGAATTTACTATGAAATGACATATTTTTCAAGCCACTGTCAAAGTAACTGCAACTTCCATATGCCATATCAAGACACGTGTGATGATTCAAACACACTTGCTTTGCTTACCCTATGTCTAATGCCTTTCAACTTCTCTGCAACTGAGACACATGGTGAAGTGATAGTAGCAGAGCAATTTACCACCTGTTAACTAACTTGCAATAACTGGAACATCCATATCTTATTGGAGATCGACTTTTATCAGTATTTTTATCTTAAATGCTGGACTGTAGGTGGTACTGGGTGAAGCACAGATATACATTCCTCTGAGCTGCCCCAGCAGTGGAAGTGGTGCAGACTGCTCTGGGGCACAACGTCATACACAAAGGATGTCTCCCAGAGTCCTCACCTGAACTCTAAACTCATAAAAACAGCCATATTAACTTGGGCCTCCTGCAACTGTTAATGTTTCACTCCTCGTTCCTCGGGGGCCAGAACGAACAAGAACTGGAAGGAAAAGCTATAAGAAAAGAGAAGGAAGTCGGAAAGCAGCACACAGGATGCAGTAGGTAGGGAAGGAGAAGGCTGAAGAATGAATTTGAAAACAAGAGTCAAATAGGATGTGGGAGTAAGAGAATAGTAGGAACCAGTGGGAGAAAGAAAAACAAACAAAACTTACAGCCAACTTTGCTGGGTCACAGATTATTCTCAAAAAAATCTCCTTAGTTTTGGCAGCTCTTTGGAAAGGACTGAAAAGGCGTGCTGGTGGATGCCTCATAATGGGTCAAGTTAGAATGTCAAAAGCTAAAACAAGACCCGCTGCCACTCACAAAGCATGCACTTTTCACACTGAAGAAGGAACTTTATTAGCATGCAATATATTCCCTGGTTGCTCTATCACACTGCTTCATGTAAAAGTTTCTGGCAAGAACTCTCCCTCATCTCTCCCAGGCTACAATTTTAAAGAAATAATATGCATCCTTCCACAAAATATTATTTGCTGCGACAGAACAGTGTGCCCTAACCTGGTGGTGCTCTAAATGCCCCATCTCCCAAAGTCATGAACATATATACAAGAATATGAGATCTTCAAAACAGAGAAGGTTTCCAGCCTCCCTTGTCCCACAGGAAAATTTTAAAGTGACCTCTATAAATTCAAAAAACAGACAGCATTTGGGGTTTTTTTAACAGTCTTGCCACTTGAAAGTCTGTCGAGAGATGCTCAGAAAACTGCCTACGATTTTGAACTCCTAGGCTGTTCATACAGGGCACACGTGATTTTCACCCAGTAGTTGCTGCAGGTGGTACACGCCAGCCAGGCTGCTAAGCAGAGTGCAAAACAATTCACTGGCCCCACTTGGCCTGACGATTACCTGAGTGACTACCGGGGAATACTGCCGAGAAAGCCAGTAAAAAAACCCAAATATGTGCTAAACTAGAAAGAAATGTCAGGGATGAGACTGAGCAACAGGAGAAGAAAGCACATTAGCACTGTCACTGCCTTGCTGTACCTAGCAGGAGAGTTAGCAGTGGGGAATAACTGGCCTGGGCCCTCTTGGAAAAGCAAAAATAAAGCACTGTACCTATGCCAATACGTGGAGGTGAGTTTGCTCACTTCTCTATGCTGAACAAGGTAGGAAACACCGTGCAGCACTTTATCCTGCTGCAGCTTTTATACAGTGAAACTAGACTGCCTAAGATTTGACAAGTGAACTTTCACAGAAGATAGTTGACAATACTTCTGTTTTCCATGTCCAGGGAAACAGCTTCTAAAATCTTTCTGTGAGGGATGGGTGGGAAAGCAGCATCCAGATCTGTCCAGATGCCAAAGTAATAAACAAAACCTACACCTTTTCAGTGTTACTTCTAAACACTAAAGTAAAGCTGAGTTTATGCTTGCTCCTGCTTTTCCATCCTTGTACAACTCTCATACCTCAGTGGTTAAAGTGAAATTAAAGTGATGTTGTCCTCTGTTGATCCTTCCAACTGATTTATTATCAGGCTTCTCATCTGACTGCCACTGCTAATGTTTGCTAAGTAACATAGACCTGCATGGGCTCCGACGCAACACTGAAAGCATCTCAGAGACTCAGAGCACATGTATCTTCGGGGTGTTATGCAGAGCAGCTGCACTCTGGATTGTCAAGAGGTCAAAATGAGGAGAGGGAGAGGGGAGGGAGAGGAGAGGGAGAGGGGAGAACCCATAATAATAAAACATGGGGCTAGATACAGCCAAAACACTGACAAGCCAACAGTTTGGTACCTCCAGTCCCATCCCTGCATTTGCTGTCTCACTATGGGTTTTTTAGAGATGGGGAGAAATATTTGAATAAAATTGGATAATCTGCATTCATCAGTAAGAGTCTCAGGGGCTCAGCATCCAGACCGCAGTGGGGAAGCAGGCAGACCTGCTCAGGTTCCTTGTGGAGAGGGGTACTGTACTGCTTGCTCATCAGTGGAAAGCACCACTGAGGACTGTGCAGCACCTCTTCTCCCCACAGGTTACCACACGTATCATGTCAAAACACGCAGTGCTAGTCATTCCCTGAATACACGGTCTTCTGCTGCCATGAGGGTCCAGGTAGTCTCTCCCTCTCCTCCCTATCTGTCCTCCCCACAGTATTTGAAGAATGGGAGCCCTTCAGCTAGCCAGTGTTCAAGATGATCACACTTCCCATTTACAGTAAATTGGATAAATAAAATAGCAAACCCTCACGTATGAATACGTGCAAAGTGCTAACTGCCTCAGGTAAAAACAAACACCCCAGGACAATGCTGTTCTCCGATTTTATACCACAAAGGAAGATGCCTCTGACTGGCACAGGGCAGGACACTGGCCTACAAAAGCTACTGATGCAACCTCGCATGGTCCCACTGCATCAGGGAGCTGCGTCTCCTGCACCCCTCCGCAGACTGCAGCATTAGCACCGGGCAGCGCTAGGGCAGCAGGAGGGAGGTCTGTAGGCAGCAATGCCGGGGAGATAGGAACGTGAAGACCTTCAACAACCAATCTCAGCTTGCAGAGTGGGCAGACACCAGAGTGGAGAAAGAGCAACTAAGGACTTAGTTTTAACCTCCTTTATGAATGGTGGGCTGGCAGCAGCCAGCAAGGAGGAAGGTGGGAGTGGATGGGCAGTAGCCAAGCCCTCACTGTGTTCATTTCTTTGGTGCTGAAGCATTTTATTGCACACGGTCTTTCTGCTTCCCCTTTCCTCCTCCAAGCTTCAGACTGATCACCAGAAGCACAATGGAATGCTGATAGCTGCAGAACTCTATCCCTCCAGGGATGGAGCTTCATAGAATCACAGAATCATTTAGGATGGAAAAGACCTTTAAGATCAAGTCCAACTGTAAACCTAACACTGCGAAGTCCACCACTAAACCATGTCCCTAAGCACCACATGTGCTTGTCTTTTAAATACCTCCAGGGATGGTGCCTCAATCACTTCCCTGGGCAGCCTGTTCCAAAGCTTGACAACTTGTTCAGTGAAGAAATTTTTCCTAATATCCAGTTTGAACCTCCCCTGATGTAACTTGAGGCCATTTCCACTCGTCCTATCACTAGCTGCTTGGGAGAAGAGACCAACACCTGCCTCACTACAGCCTTCTTTCAGATAGTTGTAGAGAGCAATAAGGTCTCCCCTCAGCCTCCTCTTCTCCAGACTAAACAACCCCAGCTCCCTCAGCCACTCCTCATAAGACTTGTTCTCCAGTTCTCCAGACCCCTCACCAGCTGCCTTGCCCTGCTCTGGACATGGTCCAGCAACTCAGTGTCCTTCTTGCAGCGAGGGGCCCAAAGCTGAACACAGTACTCGAGGTGCGGCCTCACCAGTGCCGAGTACAGGGGCACGATCACCTCCCTACTCCTGCTGGCCACACTATTCCTGATACAAGCCAGGATGTCGTTGGCCTTCTTGGCCACCTGGGCACACTGCTGGCTCATG